AACAAATCATTAATTTTATAAACCGTAGTTAATACTTCGCAGTGACATCGCGCTGGGGGTGTTTTATGTATCTCTATGGTAGAATATTCATCAGTGACACAGGGGTCACGCTGTCAAAAAGTATTAAGATCATCTGAAAGCTGAAGAAAGAAATGCAAAATGGATTCAAACAAGACATTTTCAGGAAACTGTGATGAATACGTGCGTTCATGTTTGATTTTCAATAAAAAGGTGAGAGTGACTGACTTGGTTTCAGACAGAGCAGTCCCTTCAGTTAGCGTCACACCCCCAGGGATTGAGAATGACATCACCAGACACCACGTTTACTCTAGTGGAAATTGAGTCTTGTGTTTTAGGAGTTTTAGGCAAGTTTACAGTTTTTATACAAAGTTAATACATTTTCTGACATTTTTAAAAGATAAACAGATAATTTAGTTCCCTTAGGCCCCATCCACACTTGTACGTATTTGAGTCGTTTTCATTGTGGATGCAGTGTTCGTCCACACTAGGGATGGGCATTCGATGAAATTTTCTTAATCGATCGTCGGAAGAATTAACGATCGATTATCGATTAATCATTAACGTTTTTATATTAAAATGATCATCATTATTATTACTATCTGCACTACTAATCTGCATAAATAAATTCAACTTTACGACATATAAACCGTAACGACTCTAGAGCCACATCAGCCCGTTTGAGATTATAATGTGTTTAATTCAGTTTTGCGCAACTCTCACAGAAACAAAACTTAAAACCGCATCGCTAATTTGCATAAACTAAGCGAAGATAAAACTGCAGCTCTTGTGTCGCTGATGCGGTCAATTTCTGTTGGATTAAAAGACATGACTCAGTGGAATACAGGTTAGTGTGACCAGATTTACGTTTGTCAAAACCAGGACACCGTACGGGGGGAGGGAGGTGGGGACTCGTCATCGACATTGAGCGACTCTCACCTGGTAAAGCTTTTTCCCACTGGACACCGAGACATATGTTCCTGCTTTATACACTGTGCACATGGACTCACACTTGTCCCGTACGCAACGGAAAGCATGGAATTTCTTGTACAAGACATCGTTAAATACACATCTGTGCTTCGGTACGCTGCAGACTGACCGAATGTTTGTGTCTCGCTCCTTCTGAGTGCAGAGAGACACATGTACGGACCCCTGTTTGCTCACGCTACGCACAGCAACCTACATTCGGTTTGTCGATTAAAATTAACGTAATCGATGAAATTCTTAATGATCAATTATCGATTAATCGATTAATCATGCCCATCCCTAGTCCACACTAATCCGACTGAAAACAGCTGCAGAGACGGAACGATCTGGTGTCGCCAGCTCCCACGAATTCATCTGAGGACAGATCTGATCCAGCACTGTGTGGACGCCTGAAAACGCTGATACGCTGATGTAGGTCCATGCGCCGCGAAGTAATTCAGGGGCTAGAATATATGTACATTCATATATACGGTCTGTGTATATGACCTGCAGACGTATAATTTCTGGAAAAATTCACATGAACCATTTCCTACGTGATAGAAGCACAGAACAGACTCACCAACAGCAGAACACCCCACCCCACAGAAAGAACACTCACATTCCACTGAGTCGTGTCGTTTAGTCCAATAGAAGCTGAACTGAACAAGGAGCGAGCTGTTTTTTGAGCTCTTAGTTTATACAAATGAGCCATGTGGTTTTAAATTTAATTTCTGTAAAACGTAAACAAATATGCTCAAAGTTGTGTGGATAAGGAAGGATTGCCGACACAGAAATGAAGTGTCTGGATGCAGATCGTTTCCGATAAGGTGATACAGTGATACGCGGATTCATTTCAGTGTAAACGTAGTCTTAGAGTTACAAGTTTCTTTCTGCGTTCTGAGTGCTTCTGGGATACTGAGGTTTGAAGTTCTGAGCACAATGGTATTTCGAAATAGAGTTTTTGCTAAGGATGCAACAATAACGATAATAAATATCGTGATATCGTATCATCAGAGTTCTCACAATAATATCATGGACCATCACAATATTACAAGTCTCTTTGCTTCAATTAAGAGTTATAGTGCAGCAATAGCAAAAAAAATATGGAGGGAACTACATAGACCATGATCCTTTGCTGCATTTCAGTGCAGACTACAAGAAGAAATAACAGTTCTAAGCACTTTTAAGTCTTAGTTCTTTGGATTAAGTCTTGTCAAGGCATTTTAAGATGAAAAAGAAGAATATTAAGAGTTTTGTTCACAGTCTCCACAAAATATCGCAATAAATATCGTACCGTGAGATGTATATCGCGAAAATATCGTACTGAGAGACATGGATATTGTTACATCCCTAATCGTGAGCTTTCCCACGATATCACAATAAATATCGTACCGTGAGGATCATACTGTGACAATATTGTATCGTGAGACTTGGATATCGTTACACCCCTAGATTTTACTCATGTCTTTTAAACCTAAAATGTACTAAACCCGACAGAAACAGTGACACTTTGTAGCCGATGTCATCAATATTCCCTGGCGGTGATGCTAACTGTAGGCATGTGCCGTCTGAGGCAACACAGAATCTGACCAGAAAGAACTGATTTAGCTGCAACTTCAACACGTGAGCTAAAAAAAGTCTCTCACATGCAAATCACAGCTTTTCAGTTTGTCACACTCACCTTTTTGTTGAAAATCAAACACCTAAACAGGACCATGAACGCTCGTATCGATCACAGGCTCCTGAAAATGTGTTGTTTAAATCCATTTGGTATTTTTTCTTGAGTTTTCAGACAATCTTAAAACTTTTGTTGACAGCGTTTACTAATGTGTGAACTGTATAGTGTGATCAGACGTGCCTGTTTACTCGGGACAGTCCCAGTTTTGAGTCCTGGGTCCCAAAACAAATCCCAAAACAAAATCTTGTCAAGTTAAGATGACTTGAATTAAGAAGGTTTTGTCAAGATTTGAGTAAATTTCACTTGACAAGTAAAATGATCTGCCAGTGGAACAAGACTTTTGTATTTAAAATATGAAAATACATCTTGTTACACTTAAAATAAGAAAAATAACAACTCTTTGCACTTAAAATAAGAAACAAAAGCGAATCTTGCTTGAATTAAGAAAAACACACTTACTCTTTTGGTAGATAATTTGACTTGTCAAGTTGAATCTACTCAAATAAAGTAAAATATTCTCAATTCAAGTCATTTTAACTTACGTGGATATTGTTTTTTTTCCAGCACATTTATCCAAAACCAGTTATTTGTCCCAGATTTATACAAAAAATGTCCCACATGTCCCTATTTTTGACCAATTTGATCCCTGCCAACAGTAAAGAGAGGCATAAATTGTCATTTGTTTAGGTAAAATACAGAAAAGCTGCCTAAAACTGACCAAAACACCAAGAAAATCTGGCTATACTGACTCACATTAGTGCCGAGTGCAGAACAATTTTCATTAATTACGCACTCGGTTCACAATTTTATTATTACCAACCAACTCAAACCAGGGATGTCCAAGTTTTTTGATTTTGCTGGTCACTATAGCACTGTATCACCATGGTAACTCCTAACCATTCCACCATTAGAGATACGTGTAGATCTCCCCAAACTGAAGCTACGTTCAGACTGCAGCCTGAAGTGACCCAAATCAGATTTTTTCACCCGTATGCTCGTGTATCTGATCTTTTAATGACAGTCTGAATGACACAGATCCGATTTTTTTCAAATGCGACCCAGGACACTTGGATATGTGCTCCTGAAACCGATACATATCCGATCATTTGACATGCGACATCAGTCTGAACGGACAGGTCACATCCATCCCACCTACACGTCAGGCTCAGAGTCTAGTCAATGGAGGGAAAGTGAGGTTAGAGAGTTTATTAATATTCGGGGGGATCGCTGTGTTCAGGCCAAATTGGAGGAGGCTTATCGGAATTGGGTGTTTTTTTTAATTATTGTGAATGAAATATCCGAGCGCGGCTACAGACGATTCTGGCTCCAATGTCAACGAAAAATAAAGATCCTGCGAGCCAAATACACGGAGGCTAAAGACTCAAACAAACGAAGTGGCTGTGGTCGTAACCTGTCCATTTTACGAAGAACTGGACCGTATTTTAGGAGACAAGCCCAGCGTTTAGGCAACTTCCGTAAACACCGAGCACACTCTCTGCTTGTGACGTCGTCGTGTTCTCCAATGCGCATGCGGGACACTCTTGGGACTTTTTTCAGACCAAGAGTTTGTTTTCATACCTGACAGTTTCGACTGCTCATTAGCGCTCTTTCTCAGAGTGGTCAGCTGATTTATACAGGTTTTGGCGAGCAACAAATCACAAAGCAGAACAGGAACAACTCAAATCGTCCATTTCTGACCACTGTAAAAGAGAGAACCACATTATGGACTGGGACGGAGCAAACATCATTGGGACAGAGGAAAACAAACATCGTCGCTGGATTAAAGAGGCAATCGAAATACGTAAACGTGCCCCACGGGACGATAAACCGGGACGAGGGGGCTTTTTTACTCTCACACACCTGGGATAGTGTCCTGAGGAAGTCGGACTGCAGATGGCGCTGTCTTCCTGCCTCCACCGGTAGGAAGACAGCACCAAAATCTGTATAACTCAGCTGACCAGACACATCACAGCAACATCTTGTGACCACTTTGAGGAAGACCGCAGGGAGCAGTCGAAACTGTCAGATATGAAAACAAACTCTTGGTCTGACAAAAGAACTTAAAAACATAAATTATCGGAAGACCAAATGAACCTCATCGGACCACTTTTGGGGAGTTTAAAGTTCACACTGGAGATCAGATGCAAGTCACGTTTAATTGGAGATGTGAACGACCTCGCAAAGAAATCCGAATTGGGTATGAAGCCCTGCAGTCTGAACACAGCCATAATGATGTCAAAGAAAAGTATCAGTACAAATCACTCAATCAAAAAGCCAGAACCTTATCATTCTAAGAGGTAAGTTTGTGTTTTTCACTTCACCTGTAAGTGCAGATTACCTGATGTAGCCTCCTTCACTCCTCCACCGTTCACTACAGTCATGGACGCCGGGGTCAGACTGGCCTGGGACCTCAAGAAGGACAGAAGGCCCACCTGATGCTGCAGCGAAAGCGCCTGTCCCGGGTTCAAACTCTCCAGAGACGCGATGGGAGACTCAGTGACACCTCTGCCCCACTGTCCTCCTGCCACTGGCTCAAGTTTCTCACCCTGAAAACTGCCCACTTCTTCCATAAAGTTATTTTTTTTCTTCCATTTTGCAGAATCATCATTTTCGCTCTCGGATTTCTCAGCTTCGCCGTTGTGGCCGGCCTGATCGATGACGTCTGCGGTTTTAAGGTCGCAGTCAAAGGCAGCGTCGAAAGTCTGCAGCCTGCGCGTCATATTAGAAGCGAGTCCGTTGGTGAAAAAGCCGTGCATCTGAGCGAGAGAATCAGGTCTGACGGAAAGATCTAGAGGCTCGTACTGGGACTTCTTCACGTGCGAGCGTACGGAGGAGTCGGGATCTTTGTTCATCAGGGGGGCACTGTCGGCGTCCAGCCCGATAAAGTGGCTCGTGGCCGGGGTGAAGTTGTCTCGAGAGCTGGGCCGGAGTTTGGACGGGCTGGTGGAGAGGTCGGAAGTGCTCTGCCAGGTGGGGAAGGGGTATCGGTCCAGTTGGAAACCCAGGGAGGAGGCATGACCCGGGGCGAAGTCAGAAGAGGGAGGGCGTCTGTAGATTTTATCACCTAAAACAATACAAAAAAGAAAGTTTACATGTAGTTAAACTCAAACGGGCTCAATGATTTGATGCAATATTACAATTTGCATTTAAAAATCTACCAAATATGATTTTAAAGTTACAGAAATTGGAATCTATGGGTGTCACTTGATATGTTTTAAGCTCTCGAAAAGAAGAGCTTGGGCAAAATTTAAGATATAAACACTTAAATCTATCAGAAAATGACTTAAAAGTAGTGCAGCGAGATCATTTTACTTGACAACTTATCTTAAAATAAACTACCTCTAGACTCAAATTAAATGATATCCAAATCTCTCAGTACGATATTATCATGATATGCATCTCACGGTACGATATTTATTGCAATATTTTGAAGAGGCTGATATAATTGTAGATGGGATGCTTTTTTTTGCTTTTAAAATACTTTGACAAGATTTTGGTATGAATTATTTCCATCATAATCCCAAGAATTCAAGTAAAAAAACATATTTCTTCATGTTGTCTGCGCTGAAATGAATCATGGGATATGTAGTTTCAGATGTTCATAAGCTGTTGCTACTATAAAACCATGCATTTAATTCAATATATTGTCTCACGATACGATATCGTCACAGTATGAACCTCATGGTACGATATTTATTGCGATATTGTGGGAAAGTTCACAATATGGTGGGGAGGCTCACGATTAGGGATGTAACAATATCCAAATCTCTCTGTACGATATTTTTACGATATACATCTTACAGCACGATATTGATTCTGAAATTTTGTAAATATGCTACTTTTTCCTCTTTAAATGCCTTGACAAGACTTAATCCAAAGAAATAAGACTTAAAAGTGCTTAGAACTGGTATCTGTTCTTGTAGTCTGCACTGAAATGGAGCAGAGGATCATGGTCTATGTAGTTCCCTCTGTCTTTGGTCTATTGTTGCACCATAACTCTTAATTTAAGCAAAGAGACTTGTAATTTGATATATTGTGATGGTCCCGGGTATTATTGTGAGACTTTTGATAATACGATATCACGATATTCGTTATTGTTACATCCCTAGTCTCTGGTCCAGTAAGTAGATACTAAATCTAGAAACAAGATGTATAACCTGATATAAATTTTAAAATTGTGGCCAGATCAGAGAAATTTGCCATGAGAAAAAAATAAATTAATTAATTTAAAAAAAAGTTCAGTGATCGAGAGTGTGTATGTTTTTTCTTGGTTTCAGAATGTGATAAACTGTGGTTAAAAATAAATAAAATAAAGGTTGCACAATGGCACATTCTTGTCTCCATGGAGGTGTTACTGCTTTGCCTTGCATGTTCCATATTACAGCATTAAACTTCGATCTCCATGGAGACATCTTCATCCAACAAGGTCGACAAAGAACATATTCTGTCCATGAAGAATGTATCCACAAGGTAAGAAAGACAAAAACGTAAGGGTGAACAGCGACGACACATTAGTGAACTATTCCTGAGCAAAACTTAGCCTGATTCATCAGCCGGTTTTACTTTGTGGAAACCGTCTGACCTCACAGCGTTAGGATTCATTTACTATTACTTTTTTTATTTAACCATTCGCTGTTATTTGGTCGTGACGTATGTAATGGACCACCAACAGGGCTAACTGGTATATTAAGCTTTTACCAAATCCCGTAGGAAGAAGGGCAATAACGTCTTTCCCCTTGATAAAATTCACCAAACATTCTCTCTGTTCTGGCTTTAAATCCTCGATCTCGGGAATTCGTTGCCAACACAGAATGTATGGCTCTTCGCTGATTGGCTGGTGCCCAAATTTGCACTTCCGGGGTTTTTACGAACCATCTAGTGTATTTCAATTCCTGACCTACTCGCTGGAGAGAAATGAAATTGAGCGGAGGCACTAGGTGGCGCTTAAGGTCATGAATAAAATGTAAGCAACTTGTGAACTCAGACTGATTCTAGAATTAAAATAAAAAATGGATTTCATGATGTCGATACTGGCATAGACAGAGAAATTTGTGCAGTTTAAATGTTAGACATGTAATCTGTGAACATGTGTAGCACTCAAACTGCACAAATCTCTCTGTCTATGCCAATATCTACATCATGAAATCCATTTTTAATTTAAATTCTAGATTCACTGCAAGTTAACAAGTTGCTTATTAATGATTTACTTATTACTGTATTTTCTGCACTATAGGGCGCACTTAAAAGCCTTTAATTTTATCAGAAAACGACTGCGAGCCTTATAATCCAGAGCGCCTTATATATGAATTTATTCGTTTGTCTTAGAACGACTTTAGTAAATTACAAAGCCGCATCACTTGCAGCGCACGTAAACACGCTTGGAGCAGACTGCACAGTGACTGTGCAGTGAAAAATACTTGTAGCCACATTTATTATTCTACATGAACGAGGAATGGAATGGAGGAATGAACTGAAAAAGTGAGTGTAACGTGTTATTTTTAGTTATAACTGAACAATTGAGTTATTGTGAATATACTAACAATTTAGCATCTCAGACAGTATTTTTTTTTACACGTTACAAAGTTGACAGTTATTGTGAAAGCGTTAAATAAAGTTTGACAGACTTATCTAACTGTTGTGTTTCATTTAATGCGCCGTATAGTCCGGTGCAGTTTATATGTGAAAAAAGTTTGAAAATAGTCCATTCAATGACAGTGCGCCTTATAATCCAGAGCTTCCTATAGTGCAGAAAATACGGTACTTATGCTTAATTCATAATCATAATGTTAGTTTTGCTCAGGAGTAGTTCACTAATGCTCGTCGTTGTTCGCCTTTACGTTTTCGTCTTTCTTACCTTGATAGTTGTGGATAAATTCTTCATGTTAGAATGTTTATCCTTTGTCGACCTTGTTGGGTGAAGATTTGGTGATGGGGCAGATTTACGAAGCTGGTGGAAAATACGTGAGACATTTCCACAGATATTTTGCATCGCGGCACTTCCGGACATTGTGAAAAAGATCTACTGCCAATCTCTACTGAACTAAAGCTAAAAAGTAACTTGAAAACTACCACTTCATGATGACATCACAAGGTGGAACAGAGTATTTTGAGTATTGGAGCTGCAGACAGACTAATCATAAACATGTGCAGTATGTTTTTGATGACATAACAGCATTATAACTTGATTTAAACCTCACAAGAATCAGTTTTGTGTAATTTAAGACCTTTAAATTGCTTCTATTTTCTGTCTTCTTTTCTGAGCACAAACTGTTAATTGCTCCCCTTTTCATTCTTTACACCTCTTATGTTATTTGCATTATTTGCTAATTAAATCTAACTAAAACAGATGGTTATGGAATCAAATAATAGGAACAAAAACTACAGCATGTGCATCTGAACCCAAACAAGTTGAAGAAACTTGTTTTTCAGTTGCTACTGCATTTACTAATAACTCTCTTGTGGTATTACCATGGAAACATTTATTCCATCTAAGTGACTAAACCACAAAAATACATGAAGAACCGTTGTCTCCAAATTGCAAGATAGCACCACCCCTGGTTAGTATGCAAATGAACGGGAAATAAGCTGCGCTATCCGAGCGGAGGTCAAAAGGAAAGACAAAAGACTTCTGAAATATTGACCCTAAAGAGACACTGCAAAAACAAAGAATGACTTGAATTAAGAAAGTTTTATCATGATTTGAGTCGATTTCACTGGACAAGTAACCCGATCTGCCAGTGGAATAAGACTTTTGTAGTTAAAATTATACATCTTGCTACATTTAAGATGAGAAAAACACAACTCTTTGCAGTGAAAATAAGAAACTAAATCTAATGTTGCTTGAATTAAGACAAACACACTGATTCCGTTGGTAATTCAAAGTCAAATGTTCTTGATTTAAGTCATTTTTAACTTACCTAGATATTGATTTTAGCAGTGCAGAGAGAGAGAGAGTGTGTGTGTGTGCATGTGTGTGTCTGTGTTTGGTCTATAGTGAACATTTTCTACAGCTCAGAGTATGTAAGTTTCGTTGTTCATTTGTTGTTAATTTTACTTGTCAAATTGAAACTACTCAAACTGTCAAATCTTCTTATCAAGATATTGCTTTTTGTAGTGCAGACAGAGAGAGTGTGTGTGTATGGTCGACAGTGAACATTTTCTACAGCTCAGAATATGCACCAATAAGTTTTGTAGTTGATTTTACTCACCAATAAGTTTAGACATTCATTTGCTCTTAATTTTCAAGTTGAAGCTACTCAAATAGTCAAATGTTCTTGATGTAAGTAATTTTAACTTACTAAGATACTGCTTTTTTCAGTGTGTGTAGATGCGTGTGTGTATGTGTGTGTATAATATGCATGTGTGTGTCTGCATGTGTGTGCGGTCTATAGGGAACATTTTCTAATTTGTTGTTCATTTAACTCGTCAAGTTGAATCAACTCAATTAAAGTCAGATGTTCTTGATGTAAGTCATTTTAACTTAGCTAGATATTGTTTTTTGCAGTGCAGAGAGAGAGCGTGTGTGTGTTTGTGTGTGTTTGTGTGTGTGCAGTCTATAGTGAACATTTTCTAATTTGTTGTTCATTTTATCGTCAAGTTGAATCTACTCACATAAAGTCAAATATTCTTGATTTAAGTCATTTTAACTTACACAGATATTGTTTTTTGCAGTGCAGAGAGAGAGAGAGAGAGTGTGTGTGTGGTGTGTGTTTGTGTGTGCATGTGTGAGTGTGTGTGTGTGTGTGCGGTCTATAGTGAACATTTTCTATAGCTCTATAGCTTGTATGTGCCAACAAGTTTTGCTGTTCATTTGATGTTAATTTTACTTGTCAAGTTGAATCTACTCAAATAATCAAATGTTCTTGATTCAAGTCATTTTAACGTACTAAGGTATTGCTTTTTGTAGTGTGTGTGTGTGTGTATATGTATGTGTGTGCGTGTGTATGCATGTGTGTGGTTTATAGTGAACATTTTCTAATTTGTTTTTACTCAAGTTGAATCCACTCAAATAAAGTCAAATGTTCTTGATTTAAGTCATTTTAACTTACCATCTTACCATTTCTT